ATATTTTTTGTCCACCTGTTTGTGGGTATTGTGGCTGGGTCTGCCATATAGTTTTTCTTGGGTGACGAGGCCTCATTGATGGGGAGCGCAATTCTGGTTGAGGACAACATCTATAAGATGTCAAGCAGTTTGTGCTGTGACTCTGATTTCTTCAAGCGGGATTTGTAGTGAATCTTCTACTCTCTTAAAAGAGGTCTTGGAACTGTTTCAAGTTGTCTGCTGTAGTTGGTAGAGGAAGCATAACAGCTTCATCAGGAGAAGAAGAAGAAATGTGGGTTGCAGGAGTAGCCTCCTTGTCTAGCCTCTCCTCCTGTTCCCCAAAGATCTCCACTTCAGGATCAGGGGATCTGGCTAATGAAGCTGAGGGAGTTCACCTTCCTTTATCCCTTTGGGTGACCCTAGAGGTCCTCAAGAATTGGTGTCTATATGCCACTCATGGATCCCAGTATGACCAGTGAGGTGGTACAAAGGGCAGGCATGATGGCATCCATGGGTGTCCATACCAACTGTGGGGGCCATGTCTCCCCTGATGGTAAACTGAAGGTGCATCAGTTTCTAGGTGGCTAGATCCATGGTGTTGTAATGGAGAGCTTTCCAGACACTTAATATAGGTCATCCTCATCATGCTCTTTATTGTCACTTAACGGGGTAGAGCAGTCATGGATGGTGGAGGAGATTGTCTCAGCACCGCATGTAAGTCAGGGGAATAGGACGTAACTGGTACCATGGTCAAGTTGGTGCCTAGCAAAGGTGAGTCAGGCATCTCTGAGATCATCAAGTCTTTAGGGAACCAAAATCCCTGTGATACCAGCACAGCCGGCGGTACCGCTGAGGCTGGCTGAATAAGAACTGTTGAAGTGTACAGAATCAACGGTACCGGAGGTCTTTTGTGCTCCAACAAATGACCAGCAGATGTTGTCCTAGACTTCTGCGGGGCTGAAGTACTCATGACTGAGACTCTGGAAGACTCTGTCAGTGCCACTTTAGAGGAACTAGACCACCATTCTTTGCTGCTTCTTTCCCCTGCCTGTACCAATTTACCCAAGCCTGGCCCTTAGGATCTTCGGGCTTAGCAGTGGTAGTGGTACCTGAGGATCCTGCAGCTTCATGGGTACCTAGTGGTGGGTTGGGTAGTCGACCTTGTCAGGGTCTCTTTCTCTTGGCTGATTCCCTATTCAGGCAACTTGTTGCCTGTTTGAGACTGAGAGAAATCGAAGGATTTCCTCTTTGAAGTCATCAGAGAGTACTTAGCCCATGATGTTGACAGAATTGGCCTTGTCATGGATCACTGTACAGCGGGTCCTGAGTCCAGGGTTGGAGGCTGGTCGGAGTGAGCTTTCCATCATGAGCAGTCTTAATTTTTGCCCATGGTTCTTTCCAACTCTCAATTTTAGTTTGAGGCAAAATGTGCACTTCTGAGACATGAGAGACTCTCCAAGGCAATGAATGCAGTGGAAATGGCCATTGCTGATAGGAAAGGTTTCTTCACTGGAGAGGCAACGTTTAAATCCAGGGGAGTTGGGCATACCCTTTTAGGGTTCACAACCTGAATGGGAAGAAACTAAGGAGAACTAACTTAGGCTTGGACAATAACTATTCTACAAGTAAAGTCATTTTTTTGAAGGGGGGAGAGAAATGAAAAGAAGGCAGTATTAAGACTAACTAACGGAAGCTCTATTACTACATCTAATACTGAAGGAAACAAACAAGAAAACACTAAGAAACTCTGTTAATGGGATTTGCTAAGGCTCTCTCTCAGGCCAAAGGCAGTTGAAAAGGAACTGAGGGCAGAGCAAGAGACTGGGAGAGCACATGTGTGAGTCAAACAGACACAGTTATCTAAAATCTCCGATCTGAGGTGCAGGGACACGAATACACCTACAGTAGAGTACCTATAGGGACACTACTGGAAGAATCACCTGAGCTTTTCGATTTGATAAATGTGGAAGGCTGGTGTGTGGCCTGGTGGTTAGGGTACTCGAATCAAGAGTCTGCTGTCTGATTAAAAGCATTGTTTTTCATCCCAGATCACTCAGAGCAAGGATTTGAACTTGATTCTCCCACATTCCAGACCAGTGCCATAACCATCAGTCTATACATCATGAAAGTCTCTCCCCCTTTTCCCCAGGAAAACTTTTTGAAACTGACATGTCTCCATGAAACTTTTCAGCTTTGACAAAATAGTATATTTTGGCTAAATGAAATTTTGCTGAAAATGTTCAAACCAGCTCCAATTGCGAACAGCTCTTGCACACCTTGAAGATCCTGCACAGCCATGTGTGGGCCACTCACTATTTGGTCCTTAATATTCTCTTGATTTTTCTTTGGCATTTCCTAGGGGGGCTTGTAAGAGAAAAACAAACAAACAAAGTAAAACTTACCTCTCCCAGGCTTTGAAGTTCTGGGGGCTTGCAAAAAATTGACAATAGCAAATGTTTGCTGAAACTATCTGGCTCGAAGAAGCTGGAACACCTCTCCCCTCCATATCTTAGGACACTGTCCCTCTCTTGCATACCAGAGGTGAAAGTCTCTGTCTTATACTCCTTAGGAGCTGAGCAGCTTATAAGATGCATGATTTCAAGGCTCCCACTTGTGCTCCTTACCAACTTAGCAAGGAAGTCCAATGTAAAATGTACTGCACATGCACAGCATGCATCTTTGAAAAGTTCATGACTTAATGAATTCAGAATTTAACCAATACAAGGCACTTCTGCTCAATGAGGATTATGATTATTCCAATTTTCAGTTTTCATAATTCAGCAATGTTGGTTATAGGGCTGTTTCAATAAACGTTCCAGGATTTTTGATGTATTTAAAATAAAGGGGAGAGTATAGCCCTCAACTCTCCTCAGAATTCTAAACAGATAAACTCTTCTTGCTAAAACTTAAAAACAAAAAGCCCACCTAAAAACACTTATCATTTGGGACCAGACCCAAGGTACATCTAATCTAATATTCTGTCTGACAGTGGCCAGATACTTCACAGAAAGAACGCTAAAAACCCTAACACAGGCAGAGATGGGGTAATCTGCCCCCCTTATGCTAAACTGTAACAGAGCATAAGGTCTAATGTCTCATCCAAAATTTACCATTAATAATGATCACTTTGCATATCCTTGTTATCCATATAAATGTTCAATCCCTTTTTGAATCATGTTAGATTCTTGGCATCAGTGATTTTCTGTAGCAGGGAGTTCCACAGTTTAATCTGTTTAATGTGTGAAAAAGTACTCCTTTTACTGGTTTTGAATTTCTCACTTTTTAATTTAATTGGGCAGTGACCACAAGCCTGGAAAATTTCAACCTGAAAAGTCAAAATTTTGGTAAGTTTTGAGAACTAAAAACAGGATGTTAAAATGGAAACTATGAAGAAAATGACACTTATATTAGTTACCCTGGTCGTATTACTAAAAAAACAGGGTTTGCTTTATTTACCCACATGGTCTGGCTGTCCACTCACATTTATTACTCCCGAGTCTCATTCTGCAACACTGCTCTTAAACCAGTTTTCTTCCATCTTATATTTTAGTATGGCATTACTGCATACACTCATACACAAATACACACTTATAACCTTGCATTTATCCACAGAGAACTTTATCTGATTGAAACTGGCCCAAATTTCATAACTCTCCAAGATCTCCTGCAGTTTTATTTTATCCTCAACTGTGTTTATAATCCCAGTTAGTTTAACAGCAGCAGGTTTGATTAGCGTACAATTGATCTCATATTGCACATCATGTATAAAGATATCAAACACCATTGACCCAACTGGCTAAACCATTAAATGTTTCTTAGGCTTGTTTTGTTTGCAGTACTTGACTTTTTTGCACAAAATGCACGGATTTTACAGTGGCTACAGTGAAAACAAATTAAGAGATTAAAAACAACCTTCTCCCCACTTCTAATTCATATTAAATACTTCTTTTTTTTTGAATGAGGAACTTCTTATCATGATTTTTGGGACTAGACAGTTTACAAGACAATATCCTTGTATCGTAGTGTGTAACCTAAAGGTACATTTCAATTTTTAAATAAATGGCTTCAAAATACTATTACAAATTGTACAGAAGAACAACAAACTTTGAATAACCAACAACATCTCTCAGTTGTCACTATTTCCTTAACAATCTCATATATATTTGTGTTTTCCTTTAGATAGAAATTCTTCCCTACTGCATGAAATTATTCATGACAAATGACAAAAGTTAAGATGCTCACATGAAGCAATTTCTGCTATGCCAACAAAACAGTCTTTAAAAAATGGGACACAAGAACTTTCCCACTTTCTAAAAATCAGTCTCTTAAAAAAAAAGACAAAAGGATTAATGCTGTCCACTATCACCATCACTGTGTATGGTGAATGTGGAGCCTCTTGAAGAAGCAATCAGCAAACATTTGGGAATTTCTGGAAGTGAAGAGGAGGAATGGAACATAAGGCATTTTATTACAAGGGATAACCAGTTAATGAATCTTATTAATTAATGAGTATTTACAAAAATTGTGGAGAGGAGTGAAATATTCCCTTTGTCCTAATTCTATTCTAATATGCCAATGTTTAAATGGAGCTTGTCATGGCTGAAAAAGAGACAAAACACCAAACCAGCAACTCAGTTAATTAAAATGGATTAAGGCAGTGGTCCCCAAACTTTATACTCATGCCCCTCCTTACCCCTGTCTGCATCCCCCCCAAATCAGGGATGGGAGCAGGGATATGGCTCTGGGAGGGGGGGACATGGACAGTGTAAGGGGTCTGACCCTGGGCCCATAACTGGAGGAAGAGGTAGGGCTGGGAGTGGAGCCTTGGTCAGCAGCTGGGACCCAGGGTATGGGGCCGGAGCCATGAGAGGAGCTGGGTGGTGCTCCCCACCCATGGGGGCTGGATTGCGCCCCAGCTGTACCCCTCCAAACATTACTTGGGGGCTCTCCACAGTTTGGGGACCTCTGGATTAAGGGTTAGAATTCAAACTGTCAAACAAAAAGGAGAGAGACAAGGTAGATGAGGTAATATCTTTTATTGGTCCAACTTCCAATAGCCTTGTTCACACTGAGTAGCAATTTACTCTGCGACTAGTCCCACAGAAGTCATTGAGATTACACATGGAGTAAAATGTTCTTCCTTGTGAGTGAGGGTATCAGAGTCTGGCCCCTTTAAGTATGCAGCAACTTAAAATTGAGCTGCGCTGTTTTAAATGAATACTGCACATGATCAAATCCTTTTTATGGTGAGGGAACAGACCAAGTATTAAAACGGAAATATTATTACAAGACATGGTTTAGAGTTTCCAACTGTAGAATTCTATCATACTCAACACAGCCTTTCACTATTGGCTCGTTGCGGTCATTTCCTACTTGGACAGCACCTTTTCCATTCCAATCCTAACTGCATAGAGGACAAAACTGTCTAATCCACCTAAATGTTGATTAATTAAAAATGAACTAATATTACAGTATAGAGAAGATGTTTGTGGAAGATCAAATACATTGATCAATGTTCTACCATTATTAATACAATGTTCTTCCATCTGGAACAATTCTATAAAATAGGTCCCAGAGCTGGGAGGAATGGATATGAAACTATTTCTATTATACATCTCACTCTCTTCCAATCACTCAGTGCTCTCCATCCTCTTACACTGTAACGGGCCCATTTTACCAGCAACAGCATGTTAGTAAATGGATAGGAACCATGGACCACATCCCATCCAGTCCCAACATGCCTGAGGTGTGCTGCCAGCAGCACTGACTAATTCTCCTTTCCTGTGTGCTGCCAAAGTGCAAGCAGCCAAATTAAAGCTGCTGGCTCATGCAACCTTAATTTGGACCCTTTGTGCACGTTCTTTATTATATAGTTTTTAATTCCATGAACACAAGTATGCTGTGCTTAGGATTCCTGCCTCATTCAGTGCACAGGATGGACAGTGCTCACTTAATAAGCAGCTATTCAATATTTTGTTTTCTCCTAGTTTTTCACTGTGCGGTGCAATGCCTTATTTTCTGCGCACTATTCAAACCTTGCTCAGAAAAAATAAATTATTAATTTCCTCATGGGCTTTTCTACGGTGTTCCTCACTATAGCATCCAACTACTTCACAAACATTCACAAATGTTCGCAACACCCTTGTGATGTGAAGGCGTGGGGAACGGAGGCACAGGAAATCAAGGTCAGAAGTGTCAACTGATTTTGTGTTCCCAATCTGAGATACCCAGTGCTTGACTTTTCAAGGAGTTTAGCATTGTATAGCACTTTATATATTCAAAGCATAGCTCCCACTGACTTCACTTATCACCATCATTATATGTATTGCAGTAGAGCTTAGGAGTTCCAGTCATGGACCTGTACTCCACTGTGCTAGGTACTGTGCAAACAGAGAAAAGAACGGCCCTGCCCAAAAGAGCTTACAATGTCAGTATACGACAAGAGTCAATCAATGGAGCAGACAGACCAACAGGGGAGTACAAGGAAACTATGAGATCATTTTGGTCAGCATAATAAACTGTCAAGTTTGTAGGCCTCACAGGAAAGAAGAATTTTATTGAAGGATTTGAAGGAGGACAATGAAGTGGCTTTGCAGATGTTTGCAGCTGTGAGTGCTCAACATTTCTGCAAAACAGACCCCAGCCTCTCAAGTCAGGTAAACAGAAAATGAAGAACAAAATTAGTGACCACCTGTGAAAAGTTTGATTTAAGCGACTTGCCTAGCATAAGAACTCTGTGGCAGAGGCAGTCATAAAATTCAGATCTTCAGGGCAGCATTCAGCTGCCTTAACCAGGAGACAATCCTTTCTCTTCCAACAATACCCTGCTTCCTTCACTGCACACCTTCCCACTTCTGCAAAACCACATTGATCGATCCACAGAGTGGTCCATCCTGTGCACTGAATAAGATGGGATCCTGTGGAAAAAACAGGATGTGATCATGTAATTAAAGACTTTCATTCAGCCCCCTTATGCATATGCATTATGAAAGTTGCACTGGTAAGTCCTAGTCTCATCCCTTCATATTCCTTATGTTGGGTCCCGGTTTACCTCTTCACTCCAAACCTTGGTGCCAATATGGGGGTTATTAACGGCACAGGAGAGACAGGTTCCCTGAGCTCACTTCTGGTGCCCAGATCCACTCTTGCCCGGAGTAGCCACTATAGGGAAAGTCAGACTTCACTCTGTAGCTCTGGGCTGGAGGGAGCCTGCACAGTCCAGTCACACACAGGAACTGTGAGGAGATGGAATCTTTGGAGATGGTAGCTATTAAACTCTAGCAAATCTCTACCGAGCATTGCGAACTGCAATATTTCAAAGGTTTATAACTTTGACAAATTTGGACAGATTTTCACAACGACCACGAGAGACACATCCCTGACACAAACGCCAGCCCTTGCCAAATTTCAGGTCCCTGCTACAGTGCATGGAGGAACTTATTAGAGCTTTCTAAAGAAAAGATAATCAGAATTTTTTAAAAATAAATTTATAAATATATATGTAATTTAAAATGATTTAAATGTTTAATAAAACAGCATGGCTAGAAAGGAGATGTTCTCAGAGTTTTAAAAACAACTTTATTTTCCTTAAAAAGAAAAGGAGTACTTGTAGCACCTTAGAGACTAACCAATTTATTTGAGCATGAGCTTTCGTGAGCTACAGCTCACTTCATCAGATGTATACCGTGGAAACTGCAGCAGACTTTATATACACAGACTTTATATACACACAGATATATACATATATATATACATCATGTATGTATATGTATATATCTGTGTGTATATAAAGTCTGCTGCAGTTTCCACGGTATACATCTGATGAAGTGAGCTGTAGCTCACGAAAGCTCATGCTCAAATAAATTGGTTAGTCTCTAAGGTGCTACAAGTACTCCTTTTCTTTTTGCGAATACAGACTAACACGGCTGTTACTCTGAAACCTGTCTTTATTTTCCTTCTTGTCTTTCTCAAAAACAGCAGAACTGTTGTGGCTGAACTTTCCAAAAAAGTCAGCCTGCGGCAGGTCACCCAGCATGGAAAATTTCAGCTCAAGTGATTAAAGTTTGGCAAAATTAAATGCAACTAAAAAAAAGGTCTTATATGGGAAGTGTTGGGCTACCTTACCAACAGGTGGTGCTATAAATTCCACCTAGAATACATTCTGACACTCTGCAAACAATAATGGCTAAGAAGCACATTTTCTAGAAAGAAATTACCAATAAACATTTAAGTTTAATGTACCTCTTGAATCTTTGAACACCTAGAAACCATCCCATATGTCCCTAATCCCGCAAAAAGATGCATCTGTTTGCACAGATCCAACTGCCGATTCAGGCTCTATGTTAAATGATTTGGTTGATGCATGTCCACATGTAAGATGTTCCCAACCAACCAAAATACAAAATCAAAGTACTTTTATATTGCTCATTATCTTTTGGAGGACAGTCAATGATATGAAAAATACTTCAATTACCTTGCTGAATATACAGCATGTACGCTGCTATTTCTGAACATTCGCTATTCAGTTTACAGTTGGTATATTAAATTTTAACTCTGCACAGATGGACACACACACATGCTTTATTTCCTGTTCTTCCCAGGAAGGATATCTGTAATCCAGTAGTGGAATAGAGAAGAGATTATCTTGGCATGATCTGAAAAGAAGAAAACAAATTCTTCCTGAAATATTTTTGTGGTATTTTTCAGCAATCAAATACCTGAAGGTTAAAAAAAAAAAAGCTTTATAAACATATGTTTTCATCTGACATTACCATTTAAGAAAAAAAAATAACCCTTGGAGCTTGAGACACCAATATAAATTTGAAGACGACAGACCAAATTCATTTCTGGAATAAGCAAGCGCGACTCTTCATAGATTAGTTGCTTGTACCAGGGCTGACTCTGGCCTTATACTGTTTAGTGCAACCACTGAATTATTTCGTAATCAACAACACTGAAAAGTGGATTAAAATGACACAACCACAAGTGTATAGTTGAGGCTGAAACAGTCTGTGATCTGCATCATTTCCTTAGGTATTCTCTGAATGGAGAGTGATTTCACCTACCCTTTATTTATTATTATTTATATTACAGCTGCATTCAGAGCCCCAACTCATAGAATCATAGACTAAGGTCAGAAGGGACCATTATGATCGTCTAATCTGACCTCCTGCACAACGCAGGCCACAGAATCTCACCCACCCACTCCTGTAACAAATCTCTAACCTATATCTGAGCTACTGAAGTCCTCAAATCGTGGTTTAAAGACTTCGAGGTGCAGAGAATCCTCCAGCAAGTGACCCATGCCCCACGCTGCAGAGGAAGGCGAAAAACACCCAGGGCCTCTGCCAATCTGCCCTGGAGGAAAATTCCTTCCCGATCCCAAATATGGCGATCAGCTAAACCCTGAGCATCTGGGCAAGACTCACCAGCCAGACACCCAGGAAAGAATTCTCTGTAGTAACTCAGATTCCACCACATCTAACATATCATCACAGGCCATTGGACATATCTACCGCTAATGGTTGAAGATCAATTAATTGCCAAAATTAGGCTATCCGATCATATCATCCCTTCCATAAACTTATCAAGCTTAGTCTTGAAGCCAGTTGGTCTTTTGCCACCACTGCTTCCCTTGGAAGGCTGTTCCAGAACTTTACTCCTCTGATTGTTAGAAACCTTGGTCTAATTTCAAGTCTAAACTTCCTGATGGCCAGTTTAATCCATTTGTTCTTGTGTCCACATTGGTACTGAGCTGAAATAATTCTTCTCTCTCCGTGGTATTTATCCCTCTGATATATTTATAGAGAGCAATCATATCTCCCCATAGCCTTCTTTTGCTTAGGTTAAACAAGCCAAGCTCTTTGAGTCTCCTTTCATAAGACAGGTTTTCCATTCCTCAGATCATCCTAGTAGCCCTTCTCTGTACCTGTTCCAGTCTGAATTCGTCTTTCTTAAACCTGGGAGACCAGAACTGCACACAGTATTCCAGGTGAGGTCTCACCAGTGCCTTGTGTAACGGTACTAACACCTCCTTATCTCTATTGGAAATACCTTGCCTGATGAATCCCAAGACTGCATTAGCTTTTTGCACAGCCATATCACATTGACGGCTCATAGTCATCCTGTGATCAACCAATACTCCGAGGTCCTTCTCCTCCTCTGTTACTTCCAAGTGATGTGTCCCCAGTTTATAACAAAAATTCTTGTTATTAATCCCTAAATGCATCACATTGCACTTTTCACTACTAAATTTCATCCTATTACTATTACTCCAGTTTACAAGGTCATCCAGATCTTCATGTATGATATCCCAGTCCTTCTCTGTATTGGCAATACCTCCCAGCTTCGTGTCATCCGCAAACTTTATTAGTGCATTCCCACTTTTTGTGCCAAGGTCAGTAATAAAAAAGATTAAAAAAGACTGGTCCCAAAACCGATCCCTGAGGAACTCCACTAGTAACCTCCTTCCAGCCTGACACAGTTCACCTTTCAGTGTGATCCATTGTAGTCTCCCCTTTAACCAGTTCCTTATCCACCTTTCAATTTTCATATTGATCCCCATCTTTTCCAATGTAGCTAATAATTCCCCATGTGGAACCATATCAAATGCCTTACTGAAATCGAGGTAAATTAGATCCACTGCGTTTCCTTTGTCTAAAATATCTGTTACCTTCTCAAAGAAGGAAATCAGGTTGGTTTGACACAATCTACCTTTTGTAAATCCATGTTGTATTTTGTCCCATTTACCATTGACCTTTAACTACTTTCCCCTTCAAAATTTTTTTCCAACCCTGTGCATGCTACAGATGTCAAACTGACAGGCCTGTAGTTACCCGGATCACTTTTTTCCCCTTTCTTAAAAATAGGAACTATGTTAGCAATTCTCCAGTCATACGGTACAACCCCTGAGTTTACAGATTCATTAAAAATTTTTGCTAATGGGCTTGCAATTTCATATGCCAGTTCCTTTAATATTCTTGGATGAAGACTATCTGGGCCCCCCTGATTTAGTCCCATTAAACTGTTCAAATTTGGCTTCTACCTCGGATGTGGTAATATCTACCTCCATATCAACTGAGCTTGTGCTAAGCAATGTGCAGCTATATAAAAGCACAGTATGGCCAGAGCTTCAGCCTTAACACAGAGATTCCCGTCTATTTAACTATATTTTTGATAGCACAGCAATGAGTACCGTAGATATACCTATCACATTTAAGATGCTCTATAAAGTCATTTTAATGCAGCTTTCCTATTTTATTTCCTTTTGTATGAATAATCTCCAAAATTTTATTTTGAATAACTTGAAGGCATATGTATTAATTTGAACGCATATGTACTGTACCTAGGTGCAGCATAACTATTACTTTTCCTGGCCTGCAAAACACAAATGAAATATTTTTAGAGGACATCTCTCCAAGAAAACCAGCAAAAAGTAGCTTTCAGCTCTTTAGTGAGTGATAATTTCCTAGGCAACAAGAGAGGAGTCTATTTTAGACTTGATACTCGCCAACAAAGAGAAAATGTTAACAGACAAGGGAAGGGAGCTAATGAGTAGAAACTGAAGAGGTCATATATCAGGGAATAATGACATTTTTCTATTGGATAATTACCTATGCTCTTAACACACACTCAGAATTAGGACTAAGAATCACTCATTCTAAAATTTGTAATTCCCAACAGCATATAAAAGCTTTATCTTCTAGTCACAGACCATTTTTTGTCTCATGCACAATAAGGTGACATGAAGCAGCTCAACCTCCCCTCCAACATAGACTCACAAGCAGCATTCTGTTTCCCACACTTTCTGGAAGAGGTGACTGAAACTTCTATGAGAGATTCCTTTATATTTGACCCCTATCCCTACCCTCTTCAGGTGTATGGAAGATTTTGGGTAGAGAGGGCTAGAATAGGGGTCTCCAAAGTGGGGTGCGTGGCAGGAGGAGTGCTGCCGGCACGATGGCAGCAGTGCTCCCGGACCTTTGATTCTTCGGCCGCAGCTCAGCTGTTCCCGCTCTGTCTTCGGCAGCACGCTGGCGGTAACTCTTTTTTTTTTTTTTTGGTGCTTCCCTAGAGCTGGACCTGGGGGTGCGTGATCCAAAAAGTTTGGAGACCACTGGGATAGAAAATGGTACACGTTTTTTGTGAAAAAATTCAAAAGAAGTGAAAAATGTTAGGTTTTCCTTGCAAACATTTTCACAATTTTTTAAATTTTGAAAATGAACAAAAATATTTTTAGAAAAATTGCCATTTTTTAATCTTATTTTTAAAAATGAAAATTTTTGATCACCTCTAACTTTGGGGTGATTACTGAGGTGGAAACCATCCAACTCCCTCAATCTGCCTCCCCAATCCCCTTCCTCTGGTTCTGGAGTGAGCTAGGGGACCACCTCTATATTGGTTAGAGTGCACCACATTATCATAGGCGTCCTGGATTTCCCCGTCTCTTTTCAGGTATGTTTCCTCACTTGGTACGAAGTCCTAAGGGCCAGAGAGAGAATGACAGCTTGAAGTGCGCATCTCTACAGTTTCACTGTCCTAAGTGGTCTCTGCCATGTCCTCTCCCTGCAACTCTGATGTGTTTCCCACCTCCTCTTCCGGACATCTCCACCACCACCATTGCATGCTCTGCCAAAGAATAGGAACTAAGAACTTAAAATAAAATGTAAATTTCCTTTTTCTTCTTTTCTTTTTTCTTTCTTCTGTCTACTGAACAATACCTCCCAATCACAGTAATGTTCTGGGAGGTGTGGAGAGAATTCCAGATAAATGCTTTATTCAATTATCTTTTCTATAACAGGGTAGAGCAATAACACCATTATAAAGTTCAGAGATGAGGAAGATACATTATTATGTATAAGGAGAGGGTCCGCGTAAAGACTTTTATTCATTCTTCTTCATGACTCCCCACTGCAACATCCTTCATTAAAGGAAAAATACCCCCCACAATTTATTAGCCATTTGACCCAGGTGTCTTACACTGAATCATAACCACAGGGAAAAGGGGTTCTTTTGTTAACTTATTGCTTCTTGAAGCACAAGAGAAAAAAATGGGTTTGTTTTGCAAAAATAAGCCTCTTTGCTAATACTAATAAAAACTGTTTTCTTTTAATCAAGTTAATGAGGAATTACCCTTTATTCTAGGGCATCACAGCCCAGTAAAAAAAAAAAAAAAAAAAAAAACCCACACTATAGAAACAAAGGCAAGAGAATCATATGAGCAAGTCCTGATGGAATTTAGATCTCATGTTTGGGAAATATTGGGGTTACTAAGAAGTACTCTATGTTTTATCTTTTTGAATAGCCCTGAATTGTGTTTCTGTAATGAGCAGCTGGAGTTTGCTGAGGCAGCGAACTTCTGTAATAGCTACAAGGAAGGTTGTCTGCTTTTATCAGCTTTCTATTGTAGATTAAATCTGGGGTTTTTTGGACTATGAAAGAAAAAAGTTTATTAATTAAAAGGTAGAAAAATAAATACATAATTAAAAAATTATGTCAAAAGTAATTTCTTACCATTACATTGTAGCTCTTTGAGATTTCAAAAAATAAAGTTAAAAAGTGATTACCTCTGCTGAGGTAAGTTAGTATAGAGCAGACCTTTAAATAACAACACTTAAAATACAGAAGGCTGGATTCTTCTCTTACACTGGTGTACGTGAGGAATAGAAATTTGATTGTATTGACCAGTGGAAAATAGGTGTGAGTGACAGTAGAACTGAACTAGGAGTGACTAAAGACATGAGGAGAAAATCAACTGGGAGAATAAATAAGGCTGTACACCAACAGGGATGTTTTCAGTCTTCTAAAAGAGGAAAAAATACTTATTTCAAAGGGCAGCTCTGCTGTGAATGCTTATTTTACATTTTCTGAGTGGATTTTTCAAAGTTAATTTGTTTTCTTTTCCTTATTCTATTCAACAGTTGTGTTTTACCAAAAAGAGAGAGACAGAGAAAAGGTGAGTCTGATCCAAAAGCCCACTGAAGCCAGCTGAAAGATTTCCATTCACTTCAATGGGTTCCGGGTCATGCGCACAGTGACTATAATGACTTTGCACATGACTCAACTCTCACTTCTCATTGACTTAATGGAAGATGAATTAGGCCTTTTGTTAAAGGCCCAATTCTGTTACCCCTATTAATGCCGAGTTGTATTTTGCTTTGAGAGTATTTATTCTGAAATCAGTGGGATACACAACGTACTTAAGGGTAGCAGAATCTGGCCCTAAAATTCCAGCTCCAACTTTAAGCAGTTCACCTGTGATCACAGTGAAGGATGATTCTTTACATTTACTGTACACATGCATTTTATTCCACATGCAGATGCACTGCCAATGCACCAGGTCTTCAAGTATTGAAAAATTTCAAATGTACTTTTTGAAAGAGTAGGGAATAATAGCTGAGTTCTGGTTAATAGCCTCAGACTGTAAACCCTTCAGGGCAGAGATTCCCTCTCTTCTGGGTCTGAACAGCAAAATGATGCACAAAACCCTACTGGGGCCTTGTGGTGTTACCATCACATAAAATTATAGTAGGTTCTAATGCCCAGTCCTCTATGAATTACTGTCAGGTATCTAATGGCTACTGTCTTCACTTACTCAGTTACTGCACTACTGGAACAGAATACAGCCCTGTATTCATAACCTAAACTCTACTGCAGTGCTTCTCAACCAGCGGCCTATGGGCCAACTGTGGCCCAATCGGCACACAGCTGTGGCCCATATGACATCCTCAGGGCCATAAAGGTAGTATTTTTATATGGTGTGGATGTGGCCCACATAACACAAAGAGCGGCATATGCTGCCCACAATGATAAATAGGTTGGGAACCTCTGCTCTATTGTAATAATCTTTGTATAAAGTATGCCTTGTAAAGTATCATTTGAAAATTCATACTTTGCTGGTCAGTACTGTCCTGGTAAAATATGTGTGGCAACATTGTGTGTGAGGTTATAAGATTCCCCTGTATGATGTTGTTAACATATGTTCCAAACCCCACATCCCTGCCCAGGCAGAAGTCAGGTCTGTCCTAGACAAAGGAAGGAATGTATGCCTCCCTTAATTTGCATTTAAGCAGTGAAGAGAGTCATCGAACAGGGAGGGAAAACAAAGGAAGTTCAAACAGGTGAAAAAAACCCAGCAGGGAATATCTTTCCACATAGACCCTTTGTCTCCTGCGTCTCAGCTGGAAATGTTTTCCAAGAGGGGAACTGAAACTATAAAAGGGAGGGAAAAACACTACAAGGGACCCCTCTCTCTCCTGGCCCATCTTATTCACTACATCTGAAGAGACAAAGGAAGCAGCCATTGGACTCTGGGAGAGGGGTCCTGACCTAAAGAGTTTGGCCAGTAAGACTGCTGAAACACGTAGTGAGAAAACTTTGATTTGAATCTAATATAGTTTGTTAAGTTAGGTACCAGTAAGCTTTTTATCTCTATTTTTGTTGTAACTACTTCTTTCTTTGTAGTTAATAAACTTGTTTTATTGGTTTATCTCATCCAGTGTGTTCAAGCTGAAGCATCTGGGTAACTCCATTTGGGGTAACAAATTGTGTGCATATTATTTCCTAAAATGAGTAACGGACTTAATATATTTGCATTGTCCAGGAGAGGACTGTGCAGTACAGGACACATTTCTGGGGGGAAATCTGGGAGTAGGACTGTGTTGGTGTCACCCTGTGGTAATTTTTAAGACTGATAAGAATCAAAGGTGTGCCTGGCTGTCTGCAGCACACACAGACATAGCTGGGATTGAGTTCCATGCTGGAGGCTGTTTGTGAGCAGTCCAGGTTGGCGGCTACAGCAGAAAGACACTGGAAAGGACACCCCAGGTTAAATGGCAGGGATGACACAACTACTCATTCATCTGAATTGTACCTTGATAGGTCACAACTACCACTATCTTACTCATTACTTTTCAAGATGCTTTAAAGCACTATACACAATGGTATAAGTATAGTTCACAATACTGGTTTCTTATTCTAAGCATTGAGAAGAAACAGGGACTAAACCTATTCAAATAGCTGATCTCTTCCTATGCAATTCTGAGAGCCTTCACCTCTCACTAACTTCTTTGAGAGCTGAGGACACTCAGCACCTTACAGTACGGGTCACTATTGTGGTTTCATATCAGTCATAACTCTTCCCCCCGACAAAAAGGCAAATTAATGTCTTCCCCGTGAAGAACGATGCTTTCATAATCTAGTAATAATCTTACTTTCACCATTGTGTAGTTATTTAGTTACTGTTTTGTCCCTGTATGAGAATCATGACAAATTTGAATATTTGAACATTTCTAAATGTTGAGAAGAACATCAGCAGTATGATGAGTAAACTGCACATACCTGGCAGCATCATGGAATGTTCTTGGAATTGTTCCAAAATGCCCTTCAATCTCTCAATATCCTGCAAAAGTACAAGGGATTTCATCTGATGTAGAAGTGTCACATCTGAGGAAGCCATGCTGTGAGATTCAAGATGTTGTAAAATCTCTTGGACAGTTGCTGAACTCATAGCTGAATCCGTGCATTTTGATTTAGCTGAACAAAGAAAGCCAAATAAATTTAGGAACTTTCTCCATGTTTATTGAAAATTTGTTAATTACCTTTACTTTTAAAATACATTTCCTTCCTTTTTATTTACACTTCCTTAAAACCAATACCATGCTGTACTGACATGCAGCCTGTTTCTTCTTAACATGATGGGTAGGAAGATGCTGAATATGAAAAGTAAAGACGACGCCAATAGGATTACCAATGAATTGTGAGGAATCTAAACTCGCTACCTAGCTTTTCTAATAAAAACAAATTGTGATTTATGATAAAGTAGGAAGGACTAGGGAAAAAACTGTACTATAGTCAAAGCAAGTGTCTCTGTACAGTACCACACACATATTTTTATGGATATACATATACAGAGAGAGGGTCTGCTGTAAAGCTTTTTGGGAGACAACTGATCATCTTATTCCTGTATATTAATATTTATGCTTTGAAAATATATATTATAGCATGCAATAAAACTAGAAAGGAAACTATGATTTCTCATACTGTGCTGTTGCTTCTCCTAACTTCTCCAATGCCAGTACCTTCGAATGGTTTGTCCCTATAAGCCCCTCGAGACAGGATTTCTTTAAAGTTAGCTTTTCTAATAAAAACATTTGTAAGTGATGTGTTTAGATTCCTTCTAATTAATCTTTCTAACAGAAATATAAAGGTATAATGCAACGTGGTCATTGGTAAAATCATGCTGAAAGCAGTGGCTTCCAATTTTATCTAAAGATGGGGAGGGATGTGGGGTACCCAATGAGAAAGACTGTGATAAAAGCAAACAGCATAATTTCAGATCTATATATAAACCCCCATTTGTCTAACAGGCAAGTCAGTCATACCGTGATATGTAGATGCGACATCTAATCCATAACATAGATTTGCTTTTGCCTGACAATTTCTCTTTTGTGAATAACCAGGTCCATGTTGGGTTTACTGTCTGCGCTACAGTTTTGGAGTTAGGGCCAATCTGTCAATCACTGACAGAATTTAGCTTTGCCTATTTTGGAAACTGACAGTCTGAATACTTTTTGTTAGAACTGTGCAGCCAACACAACTATGGGAAAGTGAACAGGATTCCATTCTGGCTCAATGAATTGTTAACTAAGAGTCAAATTCTACTCTCAGGGTACATTTGAGCTGGGAGGTGAGTGTCTCAGCTTGTGTAGATATACCTGCACTAGCTCTGCTCGAGCTAGCATGCTGAAAATAACAGTGTAACTGGGGTACCATAGGTAGCAGCTTGGGCTAGCTTCCCGAGTATGTATCTAAGGTGTCTGGGTGGGTACACAGGTCTACATGAACTGTGAATCACAACTCCCTGCTCAAATTTAGATATACTCCTAATTACAACAGTGTAATTCTAGAGTAACTCCATTAAGGTCAGTTGAATTACTTTTGATTTACACTGATTTAAACAAGAGCGTAATTTAGTCATAAATTCTAATTGCAAAATCTTTATTACTGATGACAATATATGAGCCTGAAAAACGGTGTTTGGCTTTCATATAACAGGCTTAGGCCTGGTCTACGCTGCCACTTTACAGCGCTGCAAATTTCTCACTCAGGGGTGTGAAAAAACACCCCCCTGAGCGCTGCAAGTTTCAGCGCTGTAAAGTAGCAGTGTAGACAGTGCACCAGTGCTGGGAGCCACACTCCCAGCCACACTCCCAGCACTGGCAGCTATTCCCTTCATGGAGGTGGGTTTTTTATAATGCGAGCAGACCTCTCTCCTAGCGCTGGTGCCACGACTACACAGCCACGTTAAAGCGCTGCTACAGCAGTGCTTTAACATTGCTAGTGAAGACATACAGACCTGAGATAGAGTAGACATCTTTTTACATGTAATCTGAACAAATTTTATCTGAAAATCATTGAGGAAAAAATAAATATGAATTCCCCAAATGCCATTTTTACAGTCATTTTTCAAAGATGTTCTATACCTTAAAGGTGAATTTTATGAGACTGGGGTCCAACAGCTTTGGCTTACGATAGACACTTTATATGCAGGCAAACTATTTAAAATTCTCCACATAGTTCCACCAGGAATGTCAAAGCTGTGAGTTGTGAAAAGGTGACATTACATGCCCTAGTTTTAAAGCTATGTTCTGGATCCCAACAATGTAAACAACAGTATTTTGCACTTACAAAGCATGTTCCATTCTTCATTATATTAAATTGCTTTAGAATATGCACAGGGAATCACTTCACCCATAATTAAAATCACTTCACTCATCACTAGTTACTTCTGAAGTGGATTCATGACAGAAGCTCCATAGAACAATACTTTAATAGGACAAGAAAATAATATTGTGTCCACTTGAAACAATAGGGATGTGCCTGATCCCAGTCACCTGAATTAGAATATAATAGGACATCAGATCTAACACCTTGATAGTCTTTTGAAGGGTGCTACAGCATCTTTAATTGCCACAGGTTACTAAAACCTGAGTTATGCATCTCATCCACAAGATCCTTAGGTCCTCCAGTAAAGCTCCTACTGCTTCCCCATTTTCTCTGGGTGACTGGTGAGTTGGCAAGTCATTGTAGCTCTCCCTGTACATCACAAATGAATCAAGAACAGTGGTACTTGTGGCACCTTAGAGACTAACAAATTTATCTGAGCATAAGCTTTCATGGGCTAAACCCCACTTCATCGGATGCATGCAGTGGAAAATACAGTAGGAAGATATCTATCTATCTATCTAGAGAGATATCTACACACACACACACACACACACAGAACATGAAACAATGGGTGTTATCATACACACTATAACGAGAGTGATCAGTTAAGATGAGCTATTACCGGTAGGAGAGAGAAAAACAAAAACAAACAAAAAACAAACCCCTTTTGTAGTGATAATCAAGATGGGCCATTTCCAGCAGTTGACTATTTCCACCATGTTTATTTTTCCCCCATTCTGTTCCTCACAAGTTCTTGTCAACTGCGGGAAATAGCCCATCTTGATTATCACTACAAAAGGGTTTTTCTCCCCCGCCCCCTCCTGCTGGTAATAGCTCACCTTAACTGATCACTCTCGTTATAGTGTGTATGATAACACCCATTGTTTCATGTTCTCTATGTATATATCTATATATAGAGCTATATATAGATATAGATATCTTCCTACTGTATTTTCCACTACATGCACCCGATGAAGTGGGTTTTAGCTCACGAAAGCTTATGCGCAAATAAATGCGTTAGTCTCTAAGGTGCCACAAGGACTCCTGTTCTTTTTGCAGATACAGACTAACACGGCTGCTACTGTGAAACAAATGAATCAGACACTGGAGAAGGGGGAGGCTTCCTGAAAAACAGGTTGGAAAATAAGGACAAGAAAACTCAGATTAGAACAGCAATTACTTCTGTAATTTGAATGTTTCTGACATCAAGCAATTCACCTGGATGTTGATTCACAGAAGAAAAAAAAACCAATTTGGATGATTTAGCACTTTTTACCGAAGGTTCACAAAATGCATGACAAAATATTATACACATTTTAAAGATGGGGAACCAGAGATCTCATCTTTTACATCTGTGCACCTACTTGCATATTTAGAGACCTAAAAAAGGGAACTGAGTTTTAGAAGTGCTAAGCACAACCCTTACTGACTTCAATGCAGTTATACTAGCAATGGATATAGCCCATTTTATATAGAAATAATAAGCGTATTTTTCCCTAATTTCAAGCTGTTATTGTTACTGGAAAAAAAGGTTGATACATACTGTCAGCAAAATAGATTTCTTGTGTTGCCTGCAAGAAGTCCAGAATGCCATCTGCTTTTTCATATATGTCTTTAAAGTCTGCTCCTTCACTGTTGTCCTTCTCAGGCTGATACGTAAAATCCACACCAGTGGTTTTTGTTAGCAAGCCAGCTGCTCTCATCTTTTCTTTTTGTCGTTTCTTTTTCATTTTCCTCTTTTTGTTTTTGCTTATTTTTCTGCCATCTGTCTGCTGCAGCTGTAAATTATCTTGAAACAGAGTCTCATGCTTCCCAGATTCTGTTTGTTCTCCATGTAAATTATCAGGATTTCCAACACTGTTCTTTCGTTTCGTCCTTCGAATGCGCTTTCTCTTGGGTTGTCCGCAAGAATCCTCCACTGTAGGTTTAAAAGAGGGATATTAACCACTTCCCCCCCCAAATTCTGACATATATAGAAACCCCTAATCTTACTCTCTTTCCTCAGTGTGGCTTGCAGTATTACGTATCACACTTCTTGAGTCCAATTGGTCCAGAAAAAGAAATGGCCTTACCCACTTTGTCTTTCTAATATCCTGGGACTAACAGAGCAACAACAACACTGCAAACATCTCCTTGAATGCATCAGACAGGAAGGCCAGTGTCTCTCCCCTTCCACTGCTGATGGAGACTTCTTTTCATCCCATTGGTATGAAAGGCCTTAAGACTCATGGCCATATTAAGTATGGCCCTACTCAGGGAAGAGGACAAAAAAGCATCCCGCCCTCGCCACGCATGGGGGCACAACATAATGATGGTGAAGCTTCTGCTAGGCTACCACTGGTGGCTGATAACAGAGCCAAGACCCCACCCATCTGAACACCAGCTAGTGGAGCTGATCAAGCACAGAAGAGCATTGTGTGCAATATCCTACAAACGATTGATGGAGCTCCTGTATGTTCCAACCGTAGGGCTGTGCCTGAAAGGCACAACTTAGTTCTCAGTCTTTGGCTCTTTCCTCTTCTCCATTTACACCACTGATAGCTTTGGCCTTGGACATCACCTTTATGGGGAAAGACATTTAAGGTAACAATGCCCTTGACTCACAATTGCTGATCTCTCTCACTGCCTCTCTTGTCTGTCATTCCCTGGCTATAACACCATAATTTCCTGACTGTTTCATTTTTTAAAAGGCTGAAATGTCAAGGGAATGAAGTCCCTCTTTTGGCTTTCATGCTCCTTTATTCAGAGCTTAGCTTTGCACCCAAACCAGAACTCTGACATCATCCATAACACCGAACTTGCCTCCTCTCCCACACATCTCCTCAGAATGCAAGTCTTGCCTGTTACTACCCACAGAAGATTGCCAAAATCCACCCTAACGTTGACTGTACTGCTGCTGAAATCCTTATTTATGCCTAAAATATTTTTCTGTCTAATTAACTGCAATTCTCTTTTATGGTCTAATGACATCCTTACTCTCAAACTTCAGGGGGCCCTGAACACTGCTGCCATTCTACTGTCTCACTTCAGAAAGCAAGACCACTTAATCCTTATTATCCTTTATCTTCACATTCTGAATTCAACTGAAAACACAGGTCCTGATTCTCTGTAAGCTAGTTTTACACCAGTGTTTCTTTGATTTCAGCAGAGTGTTTCTCTACATCATTACACCAGTGTTATGCTAGTGAATCAGGTCCACACTCTTGGTTACTCTGCACACTTTGTCCGCTTGCCTCTGACATCCACAATTTGTCCGGCCCTCCAATTTTGGCCTCTATTTTCTCAGTAGTTGGGGACTTTTCATTTGTGCTTTCATTCGACTCTTCTGTCTCGAACTCAGTTAGCTCTAGCCACTTTCTCTCTTTTACAACCCTCAATTCCTCTTTAGCTATGGATGACTCACTGCAAAGACATTTTTGATACCTTCTATGAAGGAGGCTGTGGAGCATTTCACATGCATGACATTTGAGCTAAACATCTTTATGTAGGATTTTGACATATGGGATGTAGGAAAAATACAGTCTGTAGTGCTGGCGGAGTAAAATATGAGAGCTAAAGGCAGGGATGAATGGGGGAAGAAAATATAAACAAAGCACCAATGTTGCATTTTAAGATCTACATTGGCCTTGACTGGATTAAGTTGGTAATAATAAGTAAATCCTATGGTAAAATTTGATAACTTTTCTTCTCTGAGATTACTTAACCGTCTCTTTACATAAGCACATCAGTTTCGGCTCATGAAAGCATCTGTAACCTGTTTCAGCTGCCAAATGCTCCAAGACATTTTTAAGACAGCCTGAGATCACTAAGGCTCAGGGCAACAATTTCATACCGTGGAGCAAGGCACCCCCAAAAGGCTTGAAACTGCCAAGAAAATGTCTCAAAAGGGAGGAAAGGGCTTAAGATAATAGAAATTTTGAGTCAAGTCCAAAGGTTTTCCTATCCTTTGTAGCTCAGGACAGCAGGAGGTCTGGAGACAGCAGGGTGAGCAGGCAGAATGAACTGATTCTTCTCATGTATACTGGCTCCCCAATGGTGTACTTCCATTGATTTCAATGGAGTCACACCTGATTTACACCAGTGTAAGTTAGAGCAGAATCAGAGGCAGCATTTTTATAAGGTGTACTTAGTTCTCTTCATCTTTCTTAAGTTAAGCTTCCTGTCCTCTAGTCATTTCTTGTGGGTCTTTTCTGAACATCTTACAGTGTTTCTACATTTTTCTGGTATTAGAGTTCACAAAAGAACTTGCCACTTTGATTACTCCATGGTACTCCCTGCTGGCCAATCAGATATTGCACCACTGATATGACGCTCAATGGCAGAAAAAATTCAGTGTTGATAAATGCAAAGTAATGCACACAGCAGGAGGGAATAATTTGAAAAACTCAATACTAGGCTCTTAATGGACTGTATCAACTCAAGAAAAAGATCTGGTCATCAGTGTGGACAGCTCAATGAAGATCTTTGCTCAGTGTGCATCACTGATAACAATAAATAAATAAGAATGTTAGGATGGATAAGAAATGGGATAGATAATTGTTAGCATATAGGTCTGTTTGTTAGCCTGGGATTGATAGCCTAGTCTTTTGATACTCTTATACCAATATGTGTAAACAAAGGACAAAGACACTGTGATGTTGCTTCTGCCTAGTCAGATGGATCTGTTAGTACAATGGGAATAGATAAAAGCAGTTAAAATGTTACTCAGAGCACACTTTCAGATTGCCTCAACCCCTATCTCAAGGCAAAATCAAGCAACCAGTCGGGAGGGGCAAAAGGGTTTGGGGGAAGGTATAAAACACTACAAGACCAAAGAAATGCCCGTTAATGACCAGAGCACAACCTCACTCCTTACCCCTCCCATGGGGTAAAAGAAGATGTGGGATGAAGAACCCAAAATGCAACATGACCCTAAACTGTAAGGGGTGGGGCTGTGGGCATGCATTTCCGGTATAATGATGCCTTCTGAGGAGCAGGGGATGAGACACTGGAAAACAAGGCTCTGCAGCGTCAGAGTTATGGAACATGTTTGCTGGAAACTAACCCCAATAAACATTGCATTGTCTACACTTCGGACTCCTGGTCTTCTGCTTTCTGTCTGCATGACAAGAACCAGGGGAGAAGGTGAAGGGAAAGCTCTCTCACAATAATAGTAAAGAAAATATTATAAAGCCATTGTATAAATCAATATCACTTCCTTTTCTGCATTAGTATGTTCAGTTCTTGTCACCCCATTTTCACTAGAATATAGCAGAATAGATGGGAGTTAGGAAATAGCAACAAAAACAATTAAGAGAATGGAAAAATCTGGAGAGAGACTGAAAAGAGTGGGACTATTTATATTACAGCCCAGATGAATAAGAGAGGCTATGATAAAAATATATGAAATAAAGGAATTATAGGGAGAAGAAAAATCATGTTACATAATACAAGAACAAGGGAACATTCAATGAACTTGAAAGATGACAAATTCAGAACGGAGAAAAGTAAATATTTTTTCCATAAAATGCACTGTGGGCCTGTGGAACTCATTGACACAAGACAATATTGAGGCCATGACCTTGCAAAGATTAAAAAAAAGATTAGCTATTTATATGGACAGCAAGAACAACAGAAATATCTAGTTATATTATATAATAGAAATATTAAAAAATAAATAAGAGTATTGGACATTATATAGGCCCTCAGGCTGAGGGTATAAGCCAGCCTCTAACAGCTGTTGGGGTTAGGAAGAATCTCTGTCTGAGGGAAACATTAGCCCACAACTGCCACCACAAGTTTTCTTTCACCTTCACTGAAGCATCTGGTCCTAGGTATTGTTACTGTGCATATGAACTATTGGCCTGTTCCAGTATAGCAGTGGTCTCCAAACTGTGGGGTGCAGAAGTATGTTCGTAAGGGCACAGAGGGGCCTGGGCCAGCCCCCACAGAGGGCGAAGAGGGAGGGCCACCCAGTCCCAACTCTGCCTCCAGCCCCAGCTGTGGCCTCCTGCCCCACTCCCGGTCCCCGTTGCGGCTCCCCTCCCACCCCCAGCTGCAACCCTGACCGGGGCTCCCAGCCCTTACCGCGGGCCCCAGCCGTGGCACCACACCTGGCCCCGGCTCCCAACCGTGGCCCTGCTTTTGGCCCCAGCTCCCAACCATGGTTCCCAGGGGGGACACGGACAGGTACCATTATGGGTAATGGGGGGTATGACAGAAAAAGTTTTTGGATCACTGCAGTATAAGAATGCTTATGTCTTTATACTCCTTGCTTGCCCATCAGGATGTGTCATATCACATGCATTGATCCCATACATGAGAAATTTAGGGTCAAATTTTGCCATCTTTACTTACTGACTGATTTCAAAGGGGCTCTCTGAGAAGTAAGATACTACTATTTAAGATGAGTCCAACATATTAGAATCTGACCTCTCCTAATTAGCAAAACTCACCAGCTTGCAATACATATTCAAATTTGTGAGATTCCACTGTAAATTAATTTTGATTGATCCGTTGCACCATATATCAGTTTGTAGAGCTACTTGGATTCTTTGAAAAATTCAAGTGACATAAATTTTGCTCTAATAATAACTTCTTGCTATTGATTCAAGAAATCTGTTATTTCTGAGATATTAGTATGTTCTAAGAATGTATATTGTATAAGCAATTCTAATAAGAACATGTTAAATGTGTAGTTAAATGGAATACAATCATAAAGACATCATAAACACTGCTCCTGTCTGAAATAAAGGGGTCAGATCATTAATATTCATTAGGATGAATGGATCATTTATACAATATTCATACATTTTGAAGCCCAGTTTAGGTCTTCACGGAAAAATAGAAATGATTTTAAATAGTAATGCTTTTCTCTTGCATACTGACATTAATTGATATTCTTATGCATCGATCCCCATGGCATCTGGCCACATGACA